GCAGATACACTGCTGTGTATCTGCAGCAGATACACACTGCAGATACACAGCAGTGTGTATCTGCTGTGTATCTGCAGATACACTGCTGTGTATCTGCAGCAGATACACACTGCTGTGTATCTGCAGCAGATACAGTCACATATATGCAATTTGATTTTATTTCTGTATCATACCTTTAGTAAATCATCCAGACTTCATTTGCAATAATCCATATCAAAGATAGAATTGCTTTTATGCTATAATCTTACTTTTATTTTGTTTTTATTTGTTTCTTAAATATATCTACTTTTGCATTGTCGACTTACAGTTGACTACTTTATATTGTGTAGAATCGAGTCATCCAGGAGGCAACCTTATCAGGGGTCGATTCAGCCACAGAGGACGATGCACTTTGTTTCACCCAGATGTTAGATTCCCTGCACGGAGGGCATCACGGCGGTTATGAAAGAGGCATGGGCATTGGTGCCACTCGGACTTACTTGAGGACGTCCTCCATACCGGAAATCGACACTTCTAATCAGGAACTACGTCGCGAGGTGGCTGATCTTAGAGCTCGGGTAGCTGAGATGGATAGTCTCAGGGAGGAGCTTAGGGAGGAGCTTAGGGAGGAATTTAGGTCTCAGATGCATTTGATTACTAACAATATGGTACATACACACTCTCGCATACACATGTACATTGGCACAAATATGCATACATCTTATACACGTAAATATACGCATAGACTTAACACTCAGACAATTATACACTCATACATTGCTACTATTTTATAGGTTAATTCTCAGGGCGCTCGTTCTGCTCCCACTCGTAGTGATCCATCAGCTTTTACGCGACCGGCTCCAATTCATCAGCCCGCTACCGATATACCTCATTCTGCTCGTCCTGCTTCGACTGCAAACACTTCTACTTCCAGTGCTCAAGGTTTGTCACATGAGAATATTGCTAGGATATTTGCAGACTTAAGGCGTTCGGGCTTGTCCCAAGAGGATATTCTTCGAGGAATTTCTTCTGTTCATTGATTGGATGAATTAGACTATTCCTATCTTATATTTTGGATGTATGAGACATTTTGGATATTAGAGACAAATATATAATATTGGATGCTTTTCATTGTGAAATATTGAGTAATTATTGTGCATTTATCTCTAATATTGCATATTGAGTAATTATTGTGTATTTATATATATAATATTGAATATTTAGCATCGCTTGAGATATTTTTGTGTATGTATATGTTTTTAATTCATTGTGTAAAATGTGTATATTAAATGTAAACAGGTAAATAAATAAAATAGCTGAAATGGAAAAAAAAAATTAAAATTAATAGGCCAAACGGTTAAAACCGTTTGGCCAAATATTTTTCCCAAACGGGTACACTCGTTTGGGACAGCGATATATGCCAAACGGTTTCAACCGTTTGGCATATACTGAGGTCCCAAACGGGTGTACCCATTTGGGACAGCGTTATATGCCAAACGGTTGAAACCGTTTGGCATATATCGCGGTCCCAAACGGGTGTACCCGTTTGGGACAAGTTCCAAACGGGTTCAACCGTTTGGGACTAGTTCCAAACGGTTGTACCCGTTTGGGCTACCGTTGGGGAAAAGTTATCCCCAATGGCTTTAGCCCAAACGGGTGTTTTTTCTCGTCCAAACGGTTATAACCGTTTGGGAGGGGGTTTTCCCAAACGGTTCCAACCGTTTGGGCAGGCCAATTTTGTACTAGTGTAATGTATCTAGTAATTTCAGTTATTATGTCAGACATGTATGGCCATGCGGACTTGTTATTATGTTTCTTGTGCGCATGACATTAATATCAGCTCATGATATTGCTTATGTTATTTAGTATTTGTGGGACTTATTATTTACTTTTGTTGAGTATTTTTTGCTTCCACTGAATACTAATACCAAATACTTACTCTTTTCTATATATCAGTTCTCTATATTTGTGATTGTGTATGATTTTGTGATTCTATTCTGAACAAAGTGGATGAGATGTATGTATTGATCTTTTTTATAGGCTTAAGTACGTGCTTTTGGGTGGTGTTTGACCTAATTGTGTATATTTCCTAGTTTAGTCACATGCCAGTCAGGAGCACGGCTTATGATAGTATAGCATTAAAAATGAACATATAGTAACAAATCACAAAAGTGAAGCAATAAAATTTAAAGTATAGCAAGAAAAGATATTAGTTTAAAAAATTATAATAAACACCGTCAAAAATTCAAATTTTACAAAAATACGTTGTAAATTCTAAAACTTCCAAGTAGTATAATGGAAATCTTGGAACTAAAAACATCCCCCTAAAAACTCACTATAGGTGACTAAGACAATTATGGCTCCCACTATCTAGGTTTCAATTCTGTGCTGGGTTATAAAAAACTCACTATAGGTGACTAAGACAATTATGGCTTTGTTTTAGGATTTATTTGGTGAGATTTGTAACCTTATTTGTATTCTCTTGATTTATAATAGTAATAATTCCCCCCTCCTTGCCCCGTGGACGTAGGCAACTTGTCTAACCACGTAAAATTAGTTTGTCTTACTGTGATATTGTGTTTGGCTTATTAGTTGTGATTTATCTCGTTCTTCTTCATGTGGTTTCGAGCTTCCGCCACACACAACAAGTGGTATCAGAGCTTTAGGTTTGGCTTGAGGCTTGTTCGAGGGATTCAGTGAAAAATTCCTATTTGAAGAGTTAGATCGACAATATGGGAGAAGCAAGCACATCAGGTTTGTCTCTTACGAAGGAGATACAGAGTCTGAGCATCAATAACATGAAGATTAATGTTACGAAGTTCGACGGTAAGATTAATTTTGGTTTTTAGAGGTGTTAGGTGATGGACGCGTTGGATGCACAGAATTTGGAGAAGACTCTTGATTTACAAGAAAAACCCGTTGATATGGAGGATAAGGTTTGGAAGAAGATGAATAGTAGAGCTTATGGAGTTATTCGCTCATGCTTGACGCTGGATCTTATTTATAACGTAATGAAAGAGACGTCGGTAAAGAGAATGTGAAAAACACTCAATGAGAAGTATCTTACGAAAAGCATTGAGAATCAGCTTTACTTGAAGAAGAGGTTTTACCGGTTCAAGATGAAGAGGAGAGTTTGCATTAGAGAGCATGTAAACAATTTCACCAAGCTACTTTCAAATATGGCCAATGTGGACATCATAGTTAAGGATGAAGACAAATCGATGCTACTTTTGTGTTTGTTGCCGGAGGATGATTATGATACGTTCGTTCTCACTATGATATATGAAAGAACTACTGTTAGCTATGAGGAGGTGACCTCAGTGTTGGTGAATTATGAGTTGAGAAAGAGTGATGATGAACCCTCCGAGGAGGCATCAGGAGATGCATTAGCAGTTCGAGGCTGTAGTCTAAATCACCGCCATAACAACTGCTCAAAATCAAAGAATAGAGGTGCCTATAAGAATGTTGGTAGAAATCAATATCGATATTGTAAAGAAGAAGTACATTAAAAGATTGATTGTCCAAAGTGGAAGGAAAAAGCCGGGAAGAATAAGGGGAAAGCTGTACAAGCTTCAAAAGTTAATGTTGCAAAATATATTGGTGAACATTCAAATTCAGATTCTTCAGGCTATTTGTGTCCTACACTACCGTCGGTTTGCTATGCTGACTTCACGGAGTGGATGTTGGATTCGGGAGCCACATATCATATTTGCCGGAGGAGGGACTGGTTCTCCATCTTTGAGGAGGTGGAAAGAGGGGATGTCATGCTTATGGATAATGACCACGTATGCTCTATTGGTGGTATTGGTTCGATCCGGATTAGGATGCATGACAGTGTGGTGAGGGAGTTGAAAGAAGTGAGGTTCGTGCCGTAGTTGAAGAAGAATATTATTTCTCTTGGTACTTTGGAGGTAGCTGGTTATCGGGTGACCTTAGATGATGCTACCATGAAGGTCATGAAGGATTCTATGGTGGTGATGCGAGGAGTCAGAGAAAACTTCCTATACTACTTGAAGGGTACGACAGTTACAGGGGGTCTGGCAGCTTCTATCACTACAGAGGAGGACACTACCACTTTTTGGCACATGAGATTAGGACACACAAGTGATAAGTTCCTCTTGTCATTGACGAAATATGGGTTATTAAAAGATGCGAAGACCTGCAAAATGGAATTGTGTGAGTATTGTGTACTTGGAATGAAGATTAGAGTGAAGTTTGGCACCGCTGTTCACAACACCCAAGGTATATCGGATTACATTCACACAGATGTTTAGGGCCTTTCTAAAAACACATCACTTGGTGGGGCTAACTATTTTGTCACTTTTATTGATGACTATTCCAGGAGGAATTGAGTATATCCTATAAAACATAAACATGAGGTCCTGCATATTTTTGTGGAGTGAAAGAATAAAGTGGAGCTTGTTTGGGTAGAAAATTGTTTTCTTCATTGTATAACTCATTATAACTTTGATCGTTACAATAAGTTTAAAAAGATTGGTCTTTTTATAAGACCTTTACACAATGAAAATAAAAGTTACAATTCTCATTCAAACAACACACATACCCTATTTATTAGTCTCTATTTTACGTGGGATCTTTACCTGTGTCGGGGTTTATCCGTGGACCGCCTACGGATCAGATCCGATTGATGGAAAATTTGGCAGAGCTTCACCTTCACCGAGGAAGTATTTTATTGGAGCACTAAAATCGACCAAGCGAAATCTGTAGCTCTTCTCGAGATTAAGACAAAGCCTAATCTCAAGGAACGGACGTACGGACTTCAGATCCTTCGAATAGCTCCTTCTTTATGCTGGAGTTCATCGAGATCTCACTAACCCTCACTGAAATTCATAACTCTTGGATCTAGAATTCGACAGCACCTCCTCGTCTTGATAATAAATCGACCCCATGAAATGAGCCCCTAGCCCTGTATTTATAGGCTTCGGTTGGGGGTTTTCGGATAAGAATGATGGATTTGACCATATCTTTAGGTAATAACAACCTAACCACATTTGTAGATGATATTTAGGCAGTTAGGAACCCCTAGAACAGATAAATCCTGAGAAAAACCGCTTTAAAACCGAAAAACGCGTCCTGGGGTCGAAACAGCACCGGGGGGGGCACGGGTCGGATAGATCTGATCCGCGCTTGCACGGGTCGGTCATATCCAACCCGCGCTGGCAGGGGTCGGACTGATCTG